TCTTTCTGCAAGCGAGCGAGAGAGAGAGATAGAGTGTTTCTTTTATGCGGTGGAATTTTAATATGCGTGAGTCCATTGAATAATTCGTAATAGTTATTCCAGAAGCAAAACGTTTCCCACATTTTATTGTATATAGGTTCCGCAACATATGGATGGATGGATGGATGGACGTTGGTTGGCATTGTCTCACATACTTCGACACATCCTTTTGTGCCACATAATAAAACGTGTAGTTTCTAACACCACCACCACCGAGAGACCATATGGTAACTAATTAATTAATGCGATCATTTATATCGCTGTAAATCGTAAATCATGGTCAACTGAAAAGGCAAACAAACACACGCACACAACAATCTATATGATATCGTCGTGGATAGAGTAATTATTTTTGATAAATGTACTTTAATGTGCCACCTTTTCCAGAAAAGGGAACCTGTACCGCCGAGAGAAGAAAAGACTACACATATATAAATTTGAGTTAAAGGCCTTTTGAAAACGGAGATTCCTTCTTATTTTCTTTCTTTCTTCCTTTCTTTATTTTTTTTATAAATAGGAAAGTTGGGTGTGAAGTGCGGCTTGTGCTGCTGGACGACGGACAGCGGGGGAAATATTTATCTTCTGCTACCTGTGTTACACCTACAGGTTAATATATAAATTATCTTTGACATATTAGGTACAAAAGCGATCACGCTTTTATAAAACGAAGTCGATTATCGTTATTCTGCCGCAACGATAAAAACTCCGATTCGCACAAGTAGAGCATTTACAAATTGCATCTCGTTTGATGGACAATAATAGCTTCGACATTTACATACAATAAGGAATGCATTCGCAATCATTTATTACATGTAGACAATTTGAATTAATTATTAATTGTACAATAATTATTTAAATAAAACATTTTGCTATATAATAAAACTATAATGTAGTCAACAGTACATAAATTTATTAATTTATTTCTTAAGACAATAAACAAATATTTTCATAAGTTTGATATATTAACAATAAACGTGTTGATGAAGAGAATTCTGTATCCAATTCTGGACGTTACCTTCGAAAACCTTATACAGAATTAATAAGATTAAAACTCTTAATGCGACTAATCTTTTCTTGTCCTAAAATAAACTCATCGGAAAGAGCGCACTTGAAATATGTGTGTGTGTAGTATAATGCAAGGTCGTTTCTTTTTGAGCCTCGGGATTGTGTGATAGATACGAAAGAAGATTTCGACGTGAAAGTATTCGATATGGAAATATCGAGTTTAATATTCTGTAAGATGAAATAATTTTCTATAAAAATGTATATATAATGATGGAAGTAGTTTATTTTTGATATTTCTTTGGGATTTCTGCACAGATTTCATGAAACCATATTGCGGAATTTTCAACGTATTTGATGTCTATACTGAATAATATAGTACTACTTTTCGATTTGCAATGTTAATTAGCAAATGTATTTATAAATTGATCAATAATAATTAGTTTGCAAGTGTATGCATGCAGTATGAATAGGAGACAAGCCCAGTGATTTGTATTGCACATCGGATGATATTTTTACACTTATGTAAAATGCAGAATGTATTATTCATTTTTATCTAATTCCGAGTCCTATTATTATACTTGCATTTTCTTACCACGCCTTATTAAAACAGTACACCAGACACACCCACTTTATGAAAATCGTGTTTTATCGTCGCTCAAGTCTCCTCGCATAATACATGTCACACACACTTGGTGCCTTGCACAATATTTAAAAGCGGACAGATTTGTTTCTGAATTGCGCTATTAGGAGGACGAAAAGAAGGCAGATGAATAGAGGCTTAATTGGAGTTTTATTTCTACATCGTTCGAAAGGAATATGTAAATCAGGTGTGTCGAAAAATTAAAAGAACGACGCAGCAAAGAAAGATGGATCAGTAGGAAGGATGAAGAAGGAGGAGGAGGATGAGAAAAATACGAGGAAAGAAAAGAAAGAGAGAAAATAAAAGATAAAACCATTAACATGTATCTGATACACGGGGCGTTACTTCAGCGTTAAGCTAGAGGCTACTGGGTTTATATGATGTCAGAACAACTATAAAGGATGGTCATTTATGCCCTTGGCTACTTAATATTATCCTCTGGAGAAACAAAAGCAACTGAAAAGCAGCAAGCTACGAACATAAATTATAGGTTTGATTTATACAAAGAATGTATCACGGACTGCTCCTTTCGGATGTCCTGCTCTAAATCATACCTGGTAGTCGGCAATTAATTAATTAATTAATTGGACATGCAGCATCTTGATATGAATTTATTTCTTTCTTTATTTATTCTTCATCTTATTGAACGTGCTGAATATGGAGGAATCAAGGTTTTGAAAAATCATTGTAATTCACTAGGCTAATGCGGCGCATACTGGTTTAAAGCGTGTACGCTCTAAGCAACAAACGTACGTGCGCGCTCTAACTTCCTTTTGTTTATTTATTTGTAGCTTGGTAACGGCTCGATGCAGTGCTTCCCAAACACTTTCCGACTAACCAATAATTTGCATTTGCATCGAAGGAGAAAACGAAATTTAACCAAATTTATAGACTACCAGATTCAGATGCATTTTAAATTGTTTTCATGCGTCTTCCAAAAATCTAGTTTTCTTCTTTTTTTTTTTTGTGTGTGTGTGTGTGGCGTGACTGGTGCAATTACATCGCCGACGTTATGTAACACTGCATTAATACAACTTTAAGTGGTACGCGTCCACCTACAATTAAACCGCTCGATGTTATTATTAAAATTAAGGTTACACTCGTTAAGGAACCGTAAAAAAAACTCACTTAATGTAACAACAAAAACAAGTCACCTTCATTCCTAATTACACTAAACATATAAATATAAAACTTAAATTATGTGACCGTCCGAATTTCACATTCTTCACAAACAGTTTAGCTAACATAGAAAAATATACAATTCAATAAATTAATAAATTTAAAATGTAATTTATTTTTTGTTTTACTATTTCGCACACATCTTTTTAATTGGTTTTTTTATATAATAACAAGATATTTTTAAAATATGGAGAATATTTAAGGTTTAAAAGATAATACAATATACAAGGTGGCGCAAAAGTAATGTCATAATTTGAATTGGTTGCCATTTTTTGCAGATGGCGCCAAATGTCACTGTGCTTTGACATTTATGATGTAGATATATAGTGAATTAGCTGTCAACAAGCCATGGAGCGATACACACCTCAAGAACGTGCATTTATTGTTACTGAAAATGCCGTAAAACGGACGCAACTATGCATCAACTCGGGAGGTGGCCATTTGAGCGATAAAATATTTTCCAATTAATGTCACCAATTTGACACTTTCAAATAAACTTTTGATGAAAACAGAGCTCTTTTGTTTCATTTATACCAAAAATGGCAGCCAATTCAAATTATGACATTATTTTTGCGCCATCTTGTTGTAAACGCTGCTATAGTGAGCAGTTTTTTTTAAATATCTTAGACTTGCCTTTTCTAACAACAGAAACGTATGACTGATAGCTTACTAAATGCATAGTTTTTCTTTTTCAATTTAATCACAACTTAATTTAGTTTATATTTACAATAAACGCAATATCGTAGCGATTATTTATATTTTTAATAGAATTATGCAATAAACGGATACACTTTTAGTATTTAGTAAGCCGTGACCATGATGGATGACCACAATTGAAGGTTGTCTACGAATGAGCAGACAAAATTCCATGCAGCATCACCACAAAAACATATACAAACTTTACCGTTTTCTGCTCAGTGCGTAGAATATAATGAGTATTTATGTAGTCCAAATATAGTTAACCAATATAGTAGATAATTCTTGGACGGGTGATTAAAACTAATATAACTTGTCTTAATAATGCGAGAATGAGATTTTTGGTATTGTTACTCATTTTATTTTATGCTAAAATTGTGTCTGATAATTGTGTAACATATTACTGTTAATTTAAACAAAACGAACATTTAAAGGTTTATTTGGAGATAAGTTTATGTATTTGAGGTTTAAAAGATTAGTTTCTCTTATCCAGAGAAAAACTATACAAAGTATGTGTATATAGTTTTCGAGTAGTGTTAGCTATAAATTTGTTAGTAATTACGTTTTTCTTTGTTATTCTCAACATACTTGTTGTAATAAACAATATAATAAATATTTCAATAAAGTAATCATCATCATCAATGATGAATTAAGCGTTGAAAAGTAAATCAATATTAATCGTATAATTGAAGTTTAGACAGATTGATCGTATTGCCTGCCGCATGTCGACAATTTGAATTCTTAGGTAATTCCACGGCCATCCTTGTAAATATAGCATGTTAGTATAAATAATGCCCCATGGATAGGCGAATGTTTACATTTCGTTTGCATGTTAAAACTAAGATGATTTTTATTTAAATTCAGCCGTCGTCTGAATTCATTTTAAATTGGATGCAGCCGCTGACATTATTTACGTTCGTTGCAGACGCGCTCACTCTTTCCCTCTCCGCAAAATCATAATTTGAGCCATCAGTGTAGTAGTAGTAATCGGAAACAAGTTTGGCGAAAATTAGTCACTAGCGGCGACATCGCTGCCCATGACTAATGGGACATCCCAGGGTGAAACTTATTATGTTCTTACGCTCAACTATATATTCCGTCGTATTCACCTTTCTCCCGCCTACTCACTGCAACTTCTTTCAGAACAATAGCAAGAAGTAAAACGACTCGGACAATATTTAAGCAAAATCTAAATAATTATTAACAATGTTATGAACTAACAAGAGGTAAAGCTTATTTAGGTTTATTGTGGCGGATATTTGTTTAGATTCTCATCGAAATGCAGCGAATAAGGAATCGAATTGAATCACAGGTTGTTGTTGTTGTTGTTGTTGAATAATAACTGTGAATGCGTTGTTGTTAAAGCGAAGACGTTCGACGATTTGAAATTGTGTGATGCGTGGCGCCATCTACCGCCTGACGCGCTGACGAGCAGGTGACGCTCCTCGCGCCATTTTGTTTTCAGCATATTTTTGTTTCTTATTTGATGCTGCGAAATTAAAGGTTAGTTTAAAGGACGATCCGATAGGAAAACAGATTCGCACGTAAATAAGCACAGCAACAACAACAACCATGACATTTCCTTATACTTAGAAGATGAATTCTGCTGAAGAAGGAGAGTACATTATCAAGGGAACATAAAGAACAACAACGAAAGGTATGCATTATAACGTACACTGTATATACACACACACAAACTTTCATATCTGCACAAACTGATTTATTATTATTACTATTCATTTGTTTATTTAAGTATTATATAAATTAGGAAATACAATCGAGCAATACACATTATCAGTTTAGGATCTACTTTGACTTTTCCGTCTCATAAACAACAGATGGAGGAAGTATGCTCTCGTTGTTGCTACCATCTTCTGCAAACCTCCTTCTCACTGGGATCGGCATGCATTTGCACAGATTTGGATCGAACACGAATCCCGATGAACAATTGGAGATTTCCCTGCAGACACACCTGCACGACTCTGAATCCCACAGTTTAGTCTTATTGTGTTGATGGCACTTTTTCTCTTCATCGATATTATTGCAAATGCACCTGCACTCCTCCTGTCGATATTCTTGGAATTTATTACAGTCCTAAATATTAAATTACATTAGTGTCGTTCGAAACGTATCTGATAATAATCGTTACTTACAGTGCTTTGCACTTTGCAATTACATGCACATTTTGTATGCTTCTCCAGATGTACTAATTCCTTACCCACAAACTTCAAGCGATTTCCAGCGCCAAATTGCGTTTTGATTACCTACAACAATGTTTAATAATAATTATAATAATACACCCATTTCCTTATAATAAACTACCTTAAAGCTGACAGTTTCTGTATCTGTTGGTTGACATGAGAGCAGTTTATGCGAACAGCATCCTCCGCATCGTTCTATCCTAGTGCATGTCGGTATATAAACTATCGATGGATCCGTTTTTTCCATCAGTTCCACTGTCTGCAATTCTGGCATACAACTTGCAGCTTTTGGTGTTATTGCAGCACCTACATAAACAAATATTACAATCAACACTAGAATTTTGAAAATACTGAACACTTACTGCGCTCTACGTTTTCTCCGAAACGATCTGTAATAATAGAAGAAAAAAAACTTGTTTTAGATTATGGAAAAATATACGGAGGAGCAAGTGAAGGAGGCTACGTCTTTCGCCGAATTCTACATCGACTTGATCGAGAATCATCGGGATTCATTTTCTTATTATTTGTCGGACAACGCCATACTCGATTGGTTCGGGCAAACAGTTAAAGGCGAGAAGAATATCAAAGTTTTTCTCAAGAACCACGTTAATAAGATCAAACACATCTTTCCTAACATCGAACCATGTTCAAAAATTGGCTACAGAGACACGCATGTCGTTAAATACATTCCACGGTAAGTTTAGTTAGATTATGAAATTAGGAAAGAAAGTATTTGGAATTTCTTGCTAAATATTCTTTACATTCATATTTATTGTATATAAAACTGATAAGAAAATGCAAGCTACTTAAATATTAATAACAAAAGTAAATGCACTGCAAGTACGTCACACATTTCATGGAATTCGTCACGTATATTTGTTTCAATTTAAGTATATTTACCAATGAGATATGTGTATTTTCACGACTAATGTAAATTAAATTTAACAAATTATTTTCAATTTGTAGCAAATAACAAATCTTTTGATGCTATTCCTATTTATTGTTAAAATACTTCTTTTATTGGAATTTCCAATCATTTTTTTTTCATAAATATTCCGAAAAATAATTAGTTAATATTGCGACATAAAATGACTATACTTTACAATTATTTTTATTGAAATGTTATACGTTTGTAATGTAGTTTTTTTTTAATTTTCTAAACTTAATATCCAATGTGTATGCACAACGTGTAAAATTGAGAACCGCAACATACATTTTGTGACACATCTGTGTATATAAATACAACATTGACGTAAATAATGTCTAATGCATTTTCCACCGCAAACATGTAATAATCTTGATTTATTTTTTTTAATTTAGAGAATCAAAGAATACTGTGACTGAAACGATCGACAATGAAGAGAAAACGCCACCCAATAAAGCGTTGTTGAGCCCTGGTGGCTCGCGAAAGAGGGAGAAGGGTCAAGGCGATGGTCTTCACAACTGTTCTGATACTCCGACGAAAAGGACGCGACTCAACGATACCGAGGACGACGATCCATCGGTTCCGGACGTACAGATAACCAACATCACGTCGGACGGTTACATAGAGTTTTACCGTAAGAGTTCGAAAAAATTCCAAAACGAAACGAAGTGGTCGCGCCCTTGCAAGTTCCAAGTAGCTTTCTCGCAAGTGCCAAGTGGTTATCTGATACATCTGATGATATATCAGGGGACAGTGAAATGCAAACGAAACTTGCTCAAACAATTCGATTCCGTCGAAAGTGGCGAATGATTCCTTGTATTACACCCTACGTTGTGCAATTTGTTTCTTGCTATACTAGTATTGTTTAATTACTGAAAAAAAATCAGTTATTACAGTTTTTGTTTAAATTGTATCAGAACGAATCGAAATATTGTACGATATTAATTAATTGATAGATTTATCTTAAATTATTACTATAATACTTCGAATCTCATGTTGTTATTATTATTATTATTATTACTATTACATAAGGAAACGTGTATTTATAACACAATTTATTATTTATTTAAAGACACTTTAGTTATATATATATGTATGTTATATATGAACTGCAGAAGACAATCTAAGCACGGATGAATGATGTACATAGATGTTATATATAATATTATTTTTTTTATATAATAAAAAAGAATTTTTTTTGTTTTTTTTGCGTGTGTGTATGTATATTTAATTTAATGAAAGAAATTTGATTGTGATATGATGAAAATGACGTTTTGCCAAAATACTGAAGATATTTTTGCATTTAAGTATATATTTTTTTTACATATATATAAAGAATAAATTGAATGTTGTTACTTACTTGTGATGTTTGGTTCATCGTCTTGAAATCCATCGACGTGACTTAATAATAGATCATTTACTGATAGACTACTAATACTTTGGAAAAATTTTAGGTGTTCCTGAAAAAAAAAAGTTAATATTTCAATTGATCACAATTGTACAGTTTTCATCTGCTTAAATGTTTTTCAGTGGAATGTTAATGTGCAGAGTAAATAAACGAGTTGTGTATACAATTCATTAGTTTCGAGCGACCAGTTGATGTTTTGCACTTAATTTAACTGTAGTTACATATTACATAGATAGTTTCATTCTATAATTTTCTCAGAGTCTTGATTATGTTACAATGTTTAACACAAAGTAACTAATTCAACAATTAATAAAAAGAACATGAAACATTCATAGTTTTTCAACAAACTAATGTTCGTTAATTTCTTATCATTTGTTTTTATAAAAATTACATGTATAAAAGATAGATGAAGTTTTCAAATTTCAATGAGATTAGTTTAACTAGAAATACTTACATTATAATACTTCTTTCATAAGTAAAAAACATAAACATCATCCAGTTACACATTCAATATTACTAATATAGATTAGTCATCAACAAAATAAAGGAAGTTTGATGCACGATAAGTTAACAAGAAAGTGACTGAGAGTTTGCCAAAGCTTTTTTCGTTGTTCTTTAAATGAGGTTTGCCGTGCTTGTCTTATCAATTTGTGCTAAATGTGTCACTACTGTTTTGTAACACGTTTCTATTGAATAGATAAATCATAACGTAAATCCAATTGAAGTTTTACTACGAGTTCGCTTTAATTATCAGAAAATTAAATTTTCAGAAATACCAAATTTAATTAGAGCAGATAGACACGATTCTTTAGGTATTATTCGTATGAAAACATACTTTTAACTTTCATCATTTTATTAACTTGAAGAGAGAAATTTGTGCGTTTTAAAGGCAATGAACATAAAAACGCATTGACTTAAAGTGAATACAAACAGTGATAAAAAAGTGTCGATTTGCAATGGTTTTAATAACGACATAAAATATCATTAAACATTACTTGTTGTGTAAAGGAAAAACTTAGCTACAGTAACAACATACACAATTAAATGACTGTCTTCAATATTATTACAAAACTAATACATTTGTAGATCATGTTGTTAATTTAGATAATGAACTTACTAAATTTTACTTAATGTTTTCTAAATTTCATTGAACCTGCTTCAATTTAAATAACTTTTATCAAAATATTACTATTTATTCAATATTTCTCTCTCAATTATTCAAGAAATTAATTATCTAGCCTATGTCAATATGTATTGTTTCTATACTATTAATTAGCAACAGTTCTTTCTATACATCATAAAAACAATACAACTCTTATAAAAATAAATTAATAATTCTATATTCAATACTAATTATTTAGTAACGATATTTATAATATACAAGTAAGCAGAAAGTGAAATTGACTTATTTCTAAATTGTTTTTTTTATTAAAAACATAATAGTAGGAATTCTGATTATTTCATTTGTTAATATTCAAATGTTTACATTAAGAATATCTTTAATTACTTGATGTCTCTTCAATTTCCTCAATTTAACCACAATTTATCAACTGCATGTAATTACATTTTAAACAGACTCCTTCGAATATAAACGTTTCTTCATTTTATACGAATTTTATAAAAAAAAATCATTTACTTATTTACTTTTATCACATTCTTATATTATAATTAGAAAAAACTTTCTAAAGCAAAGACAAGTTTTAATTATTCATATTGATTTATTATAAAGATATGCGCGGTTATAAAAATTCCAGATAGTCTACAAATTGGGGATATTTTCTCTGCAGGTAATTTTGCAAGCATAATACAGGTTTTATGGGAAATCCGTGCACAAACATTCGAAAGATATAAATATTTTAAATTAATTTTTCCATAACATTTCACGAATAATAAATAAATTAAAAGCAATCTGTTTTTAGAGAAACAACATGAAATAATACAAAAATAATTAGATAGGAAATGTTTGTTTTCCTTCCTTCTGTCCACATAAATGAATTGATTATTTTTTTCATAATTTACGTAGTTGATAAATGAGAAACATGTGCATGCAACTTTATACGTTGTTTGTTTGTTTACTTTGCTGTAATACTAAATCTATTTTGTTTTTCATTCTAACTTAATTTCAAATATAAGTATTATCCAATTGGTATTATTGCTGACATTGACACAGAAATTGTCGACTTTCTCTGAATTAATGGAAAAAAAAAGATTAATTACGTTTCCACAAAATTATTTATACTTATTCTATTGGAACCTGTAAACTTGTTGAGAGAGAACAAATCTATTTCGAATATATTTGTATACCTGTTAATGCAGTTAGTTTTGTATCTTTCAAGGAAATAATTACAGTAAATCGTTAAGATGCTCTATTTTTTGTTGTTGTTTTTTCTTAATGTATAATTCTTAAATAATGTAAATTATAAGTAAATGCACTTACGGAATCGTCATTATTGCTATCACCTTGCCTTGTTGTGGTTCTGTATAGAGGATTCGCGTCATGATCGTGAGTGTGATCATGATAATGGTGATGATGATGCTGATGATCGTGATCATCGTCCGAGAGGAATACGATCGCATCGTTTTCACTCTGCCTCGCGTTCGATGATACGGAGGAATCCTTCAGCGCGGACCTCGAGTACCTCACATAATTGATTAGAAGGAGCGAAGAAACTATAGACACGTACGACACCATGGCTTATATAAAACTAGTTCCGACTTCGACTCGGAGCGACCTGAGACTGAGACTCTGAATGTCGAATATGCATACGGAATTAGGAGCGCAGAGATTGCACGGGGGAGGAATCGTTGTTAAGTAATAATGACTTTACGCAAAGTTCGCAAGGATCTTCAAATGCTCGTCGCGTGAACAATGTGCATTATTTTATATATATATGTTATTGCTTAAGTGCGGTGTGCGCGCGGCACTCTCGTTTACCTTCTTTTTCTTCGGCTCTTTCCACCAAATACCTGCCGCCTGCCCACTCCACATTCGAAAGCCTTTAATTTTGAACCTTTTTCTAAAGGAAATTGAACATTTCCGATACAAGTTTTTTTTCTTTCTCCTTCTTCCACATAATTGGTTCTTCGTATCGATAGAAATGTATGTAGAAACCCGGACATAACTCGAAATGCAAGAGAAGAAGTCACAGGATGAGTAAACGCTTCGTTGTACTTTGCTTCATTCCGATTTGTAATTTTCACTTATTGCAATGCTATCCTCGTTACGTTCTTTCCTTTCAAGGTTAATTATCAACGTTATTACTTAAACGTGCATTGTTACAATAGATGTTAAACGTATCAAAACCAGTAATCAGATTTATTAACCGACGTTTTCCTGTCTTCGATTTACTTAAAACATCAATTAAAATATATAAAATAGAAGGCGTAGAAACCTATGGTCAATAGACCTTTGCATCAGTTACATTTTTATTATTTGAATAATTGATTGCACTTGTTTATAAAACTGATAATTGAAGAATTATGAATTGAAATATAAAAATTATATAATGCAATTCAGTCTTTTAATCGTTTTACCAGCAGGTTTTCCTCCCTATTGAATAGATTCAGTAAAATTAATAAAAATTCTACTTATTATACAAAGTATGTTAGAAATCACTTATTTATAACAATCTATAACAAGTTGTGAAACACCAAGACCTCATTATAAGTTTCCAAGAACTAAGATTTTTAGTTTTAAAGATAATTTCCATTATATTACATTTAGTTATGCATAGTTTTGAAAAAAAAAACTTAATTGGCGTCACATGGAAAGTCCTCGCGTTATTTTTTTAATCCAGTCGATGTGAATTTTATGTTCGTTTATCGAAATGTTTCTGTTTAGAGAAAACGGTAATTCTTTTTTTTAAATTCGCGGAAGTGTGATTCACGCATCTCGATAAAAATACATACATGTTTACACGTTATAGTGTTTTCAATAGTTTTTTTTTCTCCATAATTATAGTGGATAACAGTCATCGATCGAAATCCGCCCCGTTAATTGCAGCGTTTAATCACTAAGTCAACATAAAAGTATGCACGAGACAGACAATCAAAGAAACGTCGGAATTTTTTAATCTTATCCTCGCAAAATTAACCATTTAACATAAAGATATTTGACAATGACATTAACAAAGTTGATGTTTAAATATGTATTTTTGTTAAGAAATAAATAAATTTGTAATTAATTAAAGTCTTTAATACAAAAAAAAAGTATAAAAACTTGAAATAAAATGAAAAAACTTCAAAAATAAAGTTCATAAACTATAATTCTAAGCTTTTGAATTATGCTTCAAGTATATTATATTTTATAACTTTATGATTGCAAATGCTGGCTTCGGCATTGTTCTAAACATGTAATAAGGTTTGTTGACATAATCTAATTAACTCTGCGATTAATTATTTCTGTTCTGTAGTGGACGCTTGCGCAAAATGTTTTAGTTTGATCAATGCATGTCCGGTATGATAGTTGAACCATGGTAATGCGTGTAACAATAACGCGAGGCATCATCATTGCTGGTCGATGGCATTCGAACGACGAATAAGCGCATCCACCACATACGGCAATCATCATCATCATCACCGTCTTCAGCATTCTTGAGAAGCGGTCGGTCTGGAGGCATGCAATGGGTGGGATTGCAAATGCTCGTGCAATTCATACTAGCAACATCAATTACCGTCAATGTTTGTATTGTGCGTGGTGTTGAACTGGATGATCGCAGCGGCGTGCCCTCCGCAAAGTTAGCCACAACTACGCAGAGAGCAGGTAATGTATTCTCGCTGTCTCTCTATCTCTGCTTTATTCTAAATTACATTTGAACTTAATTAAGATATAATTATATCATCTCAATGACTTGATCAAAATACATTGATCAAACATTTTCGTACCTGGCACAATCCTTCGCAATCTTGGAAATAATTCGCGTTCACCCAAATAAAGTAATCCTCGTTTATTATGTAACTGCATTCTATTGGTTTTGTTATGGACACACGGTTTGCCCTCTATTATTTTGCACCTGAAGGCTCTATGATTCATCAATCTAATTTCCAATTCAAGTTTACAATTATATAACATTTACATAACAAAAAAAGTCTATTTTGCATTCCCAATAATAAAAAAAACAAACCTATTATTTTAACAAAATTGCTTAAGTTTCAAATATAATTAACATTGAATAAATATTTCAGATATTATACTTTTAGAAAATGCAGTGTACAATCAGAAAAGCTACAAGTTGGAAGACTTCTTTTGGACCGGCTCTGGGGACGGTTCGAGCGAAGATGATCTTCAATGGAATTCGATGGAATCATCGACAGTGTTTTCAACCCGAACCGTGTTTTCCACAGTTTACATGACACCAAACACATTCGTGAATCAGGTATCAAAAACACGATTCATTGAAATTCAAAATTATTCAATTTGTTTTTTTTATTGCTAGACAGAGGATCCTTGTGCCAAAGACTGTGACCCACCCAATGATACAGATCAATCGCTAAACTTTGCGGACAGACAGTTCTGGTTGTTAACAGTACTGAAAACAGCGGGAAAAGATCCAGATCTTGATGATTTGGAGCGGAGCTTAACAAATCTGTACAAAAAGGCGTTTCTAAGGTTTCTTATTAATGAATTTTTTTTGTTGTTGTTATAAATTGTTGTTATTTTAGACAACAAGCCAAACATCTCGGGATTGAATCGAAAACGAAACGCGAAACTAAATTGGAAAAACCGATTAACGTGTTCGTTCACAAAGTGGACAAGAACAATGATAAAATTGAGGTGATCTATCACGTTTCGGTTTCTGGACAACCGGTGGATGCGACTACAGCCTCCGACGATATGAGATTGGTGACGGATGAAGAAGTTAAACAGGAATTGGGTTTCCCGTTCCTCGTGAAAGCCGAACGTAACTCATTCTGACGCCAAACCTAAACCGAATTTATAAAAGTTTGTGACTTCTAGCGTACATTAAACCGTCGTCCCCTCAGGAATTGGCGAAGGAGCGTCCGATTTGGATTTACGTTGGAATATCGGTGATCGTCGTGCTGCTGCTTCTTCTCGGTGTTATTATTTTAGCTACGATGGTAACGAAACACAGGTCGCCTTTGAGAGAGCAGAACGTGGCTCAGGCGTTCGCAGCTAGCGAGTTCGGTGGCGGCAACGAGACCGAGGACAGCTGTAGAAAATATAAGAGCGGAAGACGGAACCAGAATCCGTCTCCGACGTACATCAACTTCCGATCGCAACCTTCGAACGATACCTTGCACAGCGACAATAATTCCAACAGAACTGGTAGCGTTACATCATCAGCATCCAGGTAACAACAACAATGCCAATTGAAATTGACGTTGATGCTTCAAATAATAAACGTTTTGTAGCGGAAGCAGCACAATCGATATCTCACCTCTGATGAAAATTGAGAAACAACGAAATGCCACAAAGAAACACGTAAGACCGAAGGCAGCTATAAATAAGACTGTGCCAATGTTACCTAAACAGTCTTTGGATACCGACAGCAATGGCTCGCAATCCCAAGATACAATATACATTAATAACTATGATCCTGGTGTAGTTAGTCCAAAATCTTATTTATCTATGCCTTCCATCAAATCGTTTCCTAGGTCCGTTCTCATTTCGGAATTAAGTTTTTTTTTTCTACTTCTTATAACACTTTTGTATTTTAGAGGTAATAATCCAGAACCTTTGAGCAAGGTATTAGAACCAGTCAGCGTTTTACATTTAGATATGACTGATGATCTTCCATTTGAACCGGACGAAAGCAATTACGGTATGTTTGCAAGACACACGAGCGTTGGGACCAGCGAAGATCCGGGAGTTATTGGGCCCGTTGTTTGGAATATGCATTGCGATCGGTTAAAGGCTGGTGAGATATTCAATTTCTCAATTGTATTTGTACTACAACTCATAGCGATTACGTTTCCAGGTATAGATAATAATGACGAATCCGGTGACGTGCCAAGTAACGTTACGAAGATGCGGAAGCGTTTCCATGATCTCCTAGATGACACTTTCAGCTTATTTGGAACGCGCCGCGATGGCACTAACCATTTATCCAAATCAAATGAAATTGAATCACAACAAGAGTTTACTAAGTAACCAGTCACGAATTGGAGTCATACTGTTGTGTTATTTTAACTATTTTTTTAGACACATCGATGTACCTCCGATGAAAGTGCGTCCGAAGACTTCGGACGTCAAGCGTCCTCCTGCAAATTACGGAGGACAATTGAAAGGAGCTTGGACCAGTTCGGCTCCTTCGCCTCTGGTGAGGCCGATAAGTGCTCCATACATGAGGCCAAACACGGCGCCGAACGTCGATTTAGAGCATATCTTGGCGAAGGGTAGTTTGAGTCACAACGACCCCGCCATTCCGTTGATAGCCGCTATTAAGAAAGAGATAGGAAGATCTGCCTTACCTGGAAGTACATCTAATTTAAATGAATAGGTTTTTATATTACGTTTGTTTTTCATGATCTTTATATTGGCTTGAATAGTGTGTATTAATTAGTTGAATAAATAAGCAAATTTCATTATAATTATTTTGATTCATATGATTAACTCAGAGCTACTCAAAATTACTTACCTTTATTTATTTAACAAGAGTAATAACTTATGAAATAGTGAAATGAAAACAAGAAATTAATCATTATAAATGTTTTAAATATATTTTGTGTCTAATAATTATGTACAATATAATACAAGTAAAAAATCACTAGTAACCATAATATTTATAGAAAATAATTAATATTATATTTATCAATATATATATATATATATATATATATAGCAGCTAATATAGCTCAATATAAGAGAAAAATATATATATTGTTTTAAAGACCTCAGAAGAATTAGTATATATATATATATGGGAAGGTCAGTTCATATATAAATAATTTATATTATAAAACCACATCTCAGAAACTAGTAATATTTTAAAATATATGGTAACAAAGTAAAAAAAGATTGTACTAAGGTAGTAGTGTAATTTGTTAAAAATAAAAGATAAAAAGGAAGAACGAATATTTAACAAATAATGAAAAATAATTTAAAATATATGTATATATGTATGTATATATATATATATGTATGTACTAGTAAAGAATAACAATAAAAGTACATTTACATAAAGAGGAATAAGAGTTGAATCAGTGTATAACTGAGTATTTAGAAATCGCGATTCAACTGAATTCAGATCTTTAAGGCACATAATCACAATTTATCATATAATATATATAAATATAAATGTATATATATATATATATATTTTACAAATTATAAAGAAATACACATTCATGCTGATATATAATTTACATTCATACATTTAAATATCTACAAATATACAGGATGTTTCAAAGCTGAACCACCGAGATTTGGGAATTTAATCAGGAATTAATGAATTCTCTTAAAGAAAAGCATATAATATTTATATAGATTTACTCTTTGGCTAAGATTCACATGTTCGCATCATGTTAACAGGAAATTATTATTGTTTTCGTCGAAAGGAACATTTGAGTATTATTATAAAGTGTTTTCTTTTCTTTTCTTTCTTCTCTCTCAATTTCGTTCAATGTCCTTCACTGCAAGATTAAAACAATTACTATCATCAACAAGCTTATCTTTCGTATTTTTTTTGGAATTTCAATTCCTGAATGGATTCGAAATCCGGTGAGAAATATTTTTTTGAAACACCCTGTGTATAATAATGTATATTATACTTCAACCCCAAATTCCCGGTCAACGACATACTCGTATCGAATCTGCTCATCTTTGCTATCGTCCCTCTCGATTCCGTCAGCTTTATCTCGACTCCTTTTATCCTCAGACAGTATGCAACAATCCTCTGCTTTTTCTCCTATACTGCTTGGCTCTAAATGGCACTGCTCCGAAGGCAAGAACGGCACTTTTGAATTTACTCTAGTGAAGAACGCCATTTTTTCCCTACAAAGACACAAACAAATAACACAATTAGTTGATTAGTTCATTAGGAGAAGTGTGAATGGATGACTTACTTGAACGAAATAATATCGGGTTTTCCGTTGCCAGCTTTAGTTTTCCTCAACTTGTAAATCTCTTTGGAAACTTTATGCAACCTCTTCTCAATTTTCTTCTCTTCGGCAGTTTTTGAAAGTCGTTCACTTTCAGCCTGTGCCACCAAATTCAAAAATTGAGGATCCTCGAGGACCCAGGCCGCAGTTTCCGAGTCTCCCTGTTCCCGTGCGCTTTCCAATCGTTGCTTCAATTCGCGCAATCGAATCAAGTCCGAGTTAAGCACATGAAGTCTCGTGTGCTGAGCCTGCAGATCCAATTCAAGATCGATCGAGGTTCGAGCAGTGATCGGCATATTCGGTGATTTATTGGATAACGATGCCATCGAATTCGATTGCCGCCTGAAACGCAATGATCGTCTCTCGACGGCATTCCGTTGGAATGGATTCGTGCCCTTCCTATACAGCGGCATCGCACTATCACTGTCGCTTCTGTTCAGTTTGCAGATGTAGTTCTTCGTGACCTCTGCGCTCGGCGAAAAAGTCTGGGACCTCTTGATTACGCCTCTGTCGTCCATGCTAGATACGCCTAGTTTCATCTGCTTGGCATGCTCTGGATAGAAGGCACATTCCGTGTTTGTCTGTGCATCGGAAAATTCTAGATAGATTTGTTCCAGTGTGTCTTCCGCTTTTTCGTTCGGTCTAAATTCTACAGTGACACCTTCCTCCTCTTCTACTCCTTCCACCACCTCCTCCTCCTCTTCCTCTTCCTCCTCATCACTATTATCACTATATTCTAAACAATTGACTAATTCATCGAAGTTTATGTTAACGGCGGCAGGTTGGAACGCTTCACAATCCTGGTTTCGCGTCAGTGTTGATGTTTGCGACGAAATGATCGTTGAATCGTCCGAACTCTCTTCTTTCAAACCTAACATATGTCGGTATAAGACCATTTCACCTTCAGCCTTATCCTTATATAACGATGAATCAGAATCTTGTTTTGTATGCAATGATTTGTCTTCTGCAGGGTCCGCCATGCATTGGAGACTGAGTATGTTGTACCATTTTTGTGAAATATTTTGTGGATTGAAATCTGCCAAACTCACTTGTGCGCAACCCTAGTTGTATAAATAAATATAGCAATTAATACATGCACACTATATGAAATCATGTATTTCAACTTACCACACACTTCTCTTGGTTGTTCTCGTATTTGCTCCATACATTAATTTGTAACGTCTTCGTGCAAATCTTCTTCAAAGGTACTGATAAATTAAAGATGTCACCAAAAGTAGGTTTCTTTAAGTCTTTGACGGGTTTCGTGCAACACACCGTTGACGGCGTATTTGGAAGTAGCATTGCTTTGATGTACCTGTTGAGTAAAGTAAAAAATTATAATATTTCCAACAACTTATATTGGTTTTCGTATATACTTACACTTCTGAAGGCTCCTGTATCAATAGTGCAGCCAAATTCCGCGCACGCTCGAAACAGACGTGTAAAAGGTTTTCGTTGAAAATATAGCGCAACTTGATCTGTATCTGCGCCGTATCCAAAACATCTTCGGCGCCAAAGAATCCAGACGCCCGTTTCCTGTTGGAAGCTTCGAAAACGCCTGAATCTCCAGCGACGGATTCATCACTTACTGCAGCCGAAACCGATCTAGTGTTGGTACCCGATGAAGAAGTGCGTGAAAGCGTGATCACTTGTAAACCTTCGTCGTTGTCTAATAGAGGAGGCGGTGTTTCGGAAATAGGTGATAACGGCGGGTCCGGATTGTTCTCATACGACAACCTCGTGGGTCTGCCCAAACCCGAGCCTTGCGACATATTATTAACATGATCGAAATCAGTTAATGGCGATAGGTTTGCAATGGGTATCCTCTGTATGAATTCGTTGGACAGTTTCAGTTCTTGCAGTCTTATGTCGATTTCGATTTGTTCGTATGCGGGTGGTGGCTGCGTGCATGGTATGTTCTCGTACATAGGCGAAATTGGTGGAGAGACCGAAGATAATGAACTTCGCGGTGATAATGATGGTTGAGATCTTCCCGTTGACGGTGTGTTTACGGTGCTGTCGGTGCTTCCCTTCAGTAGCCTTTCGACCCGCCTGTGCAGATCAACCATATCGACAGGTTTGTCTACATTTACGGAGCCCATGCATTGCGGACCACCGTAGATGTCCGTGAAACTGAGGCCAGAACTCAATGAACCCTTACTACTCGTCGTGGAAAGGGAACCTAGACTAGAACTGCTGCTCACAGACAACGTGCTGACAGACAGTGTTTTCAATTGGGATTCTAATTGCGTCATAGACCTCAACGCGTCACGCAACTGCTGCAGCAAGAGTTGCTTCTCTTCGTGCAATCGAACCCTATCCGCGATTGCTCTGTTCGACATTTCCATTGCTTTATTCAAATCTTCCTCCAGCCTCTTGCACTCCATTTGTATACCGTTCATCTCCTCTTTCGAACGCGTTCTCGGCGTTATACTTCTCAACTCCCTCAGCAGCTGCTCCTTCTCTTGGAACAGCAGCAACCTGTCTTTGTCGGATTCCTCCTGGCCCGGTTGCACTTTCTCCTCCAAATCCGCCAACTTCTGCTGTATACTTTGTACTTGTTTCCTCGCCTCGTCATATTCTAATCTCATTTTCGCCATTTCAGCAAGTCGAGTACCGACCGAGACCAATTCGCACGACAAATCAGTTTGGGACGCGGTACTCAGTTTCTCTTGAGGCAAGCTAAGCGTCGAAACGTCCGGCGAACTTTCGCACAATTGCAATCTGGTCAGATCGTCTTTGAGCTTAGCCAGAGACTGCATCAGTTCTGCTCGCTCCTTCTCACCCGACGACAAGGATTTCTGTATATTCCTCAATTCTACCATTATCGCTTGCGCCTCTGCTATATTGTAACATGCTCCTTGGTGTGTACTCAGTTTTTGTTCAACACTGGAATAAATAAATCGGTTAATATAAAATCCTTAAGAAATAATTCGTAAATAAATCATATACTTTGATAGTGTATCTACGCCTCGCTGCGTGTAGTTCATCTCTGTTCTGATTTGCTCCAATTCCGATTTCAATCGCGAAACCCTGTTCTTCGCCATCGCCACATCTGACTTTAACAAATCTGGATCATACTTTGTACTTACACTACTCGACGAGGAACACACTGCAGGGAACAAAATTATAGTCTATATAGTTCATTTAGTTTTGGGATACTTACAACTGGTTCTTGATGTAGTGAGTGTGATGAGAGCATTATTTAAATGATCGTATTCATCTTGTGCTAAAATTAACCTTTGTGACTTTATATTATAAATATCTTTTTTGGCCTGTAAAAAAAAGAAAATTTCTGTTAAAATATATTAATTATATTTTTTTAAATGTACATATATTAATTAAGTGGAGCAATTGTAATTTCTTTGATGTTCTTTCGTTGATGTGCACTTACTATTCCGAAAGAGTACTGAGTATTTTGCTGGCCATTGCAGAGATAGATGCGATTTCCATATTGGTGATGTCGCGAAAGGTTGTAATTGTCGCAGGGCGTGCGATAGAGATATTGCGATGCATTACTGTAGGCATCCTGTCGCCTCCCAGTGATAAGGTAGGAGGCTGGGAGTGTTTGGAACGCGGGCGGCTGCACCACCGTCTGCGATAAAGAATGCAATGCAACGGGCAAGGTTTGTACCTGCAGTTGGTCTGCTGGCAGACGCACGTAACACCACATCTTGAGCACCGCGAGGGTCTGAGAGCACTGCGGCCAACCGGCCTTGGTCCGTCCTTCGCACCCCGGTCCGGGCCACTTTAATTTCCGTGTACATTCCACGGGTTTCGTGCCTCAGGCGTGCATTGTATGAATGTATATATATACACACACACACAGACACACACACTTATGTATTTATGTGCGTGTATATATATATATATGTATAAGAAAGGATTCACATAGGTCTACAGCTGCTTCTGCTGACAGTCTGCTGCTGCTGATGATGGACCAACCTTATACAATGGGCTAATGGTTTTCGAGGCCCCAGAGAGGAGAAAAAGAACCGAGAAAAATATAAAGCGAAGGCACAAAGCCCAGGGACTGTGTGTGTGTGTGTGTGTAATGCATACAATCAATTCCGAAACAATGTACACCGAACGATCTCTCGGATGAACCCATTTTCGAGAGCAACAGAGATCCTCGAATACGAAGAGGAAGAGGAGTTCAGGCACTAGCTCGCTCGCTCATTTGTTTTTCAAATAGCTTCATAAATAGCAGAGAGAAACGGTCGGAGGAAGAAGAGACGAACCGGCCTCGGGAAATTACACTGATTAACTTGCATTCTCCTCCGTCAATATTTAAGTTTAAACGCGTAATCTATTCCCCGTAGAAATTACGTTCCCCGAACGCAATTACCTAATGGAAGTCGTTTTCCTGCGCCGCTGCCGTTTCCCAGTTGTTATGATATGGGATTTATTCGTTATTTTGGACATTGCGGTTGCGGTTTTACGTTGTCTTCGGATGATAGACGCATAGTTTTCATGGAATTTGGAGAATTCCAGTAGGAGGCCCAATAACAATAATAGTAATAATAATAATAATGTCGGGGCGTCAGAAATTGCTCATTATATAACGGCAGAGAGCCAGCCAGTCAGATACACTTATACATTGTATAAGGGGAAGAGGCTGTATGATAACCGAGCGAACCTGTTGATTTAGGATTGGAGAAAAACATGCGAGAGCGAGAGGAGAAGAGGTCGGAATGATCGGAGATGATCGTCGAGGACCGGTGGAATGCAGGCATGCAAGCATGTAGCAGCCGTTCAAAAGCGCGCAATCGTGCGGTGTAATACAGGTAGCCGTGACCCCCTCTGACGTCCCAGGAGCCATTTGGTCCCTCGTGTCTCGTCCCTCACCGCACCTCATCTCACCTCACATCCAACGTCCAGCAGACCAGTCAAAGATATATTCAACACCACGTCCAGACACAAAATGTGCGCCTGCGCATATTAAAAAATAATCAACCAGAAAATCCTATATACACTTATGTATGTATGTATGTATATAACACACGCACAGGAGGTGTATACATACATATATATATATATAGAAGGAATGTCAGCTGGCTACGTACAAAACACGAAATTTCCTTTGAAGGTAGCCGAAGAATGCGTAATATAGTAGCCACTACCTTGCTCCATATATAATTAAATATATCAACTTTTCGTTTCTTTCTTTTTTCTTCTTTCCTACACTTTTATTCCATCCTCTCGCTGCTTCTTCGATTCCTCAAGATATATATATATATATTTACAATTACCGTTGCTCGCCGTGTGCACTCCTCGACTTCAACCAAACTCTTCTTCTGTTATGCTGCTGCTGTTGCTGTTGCAAAAGCATATTCATCAATAACAATATATTGAGGAGGAGATAGATGATGCATTCTGCCTCTTACCACGTCCACGAACCGCGAGAGAATACAAGTGGGGAAATGCACGTAATTAATAATCAGATTTTATCACGCGGATTCCATTAACATCTGAATACCCTCTGGAATTCCTGATCGCATTCTAACACTGCGAGGGATACGCTCGCCTGATTTCCTTCTATGCGTTGCTGCTCTCCTCTGATGCTAGTGTAATAATTTTATGCAGTCACGGTTTACGAGCTTTCCTCGTTACGAACCCGCATTTGAAAAAGAAAAGAAAAGCAGAACAGAACACAGAGAACAGCAAGAGACACGAACGAAATGGGGAGAATGCGAGAAACAGACTACGTACTAATATACCTGGAACTGTCTTAATAAACATCATTAATATCATCAGCTCCAATCTGATCCAAACGTACACAACGCATTTTCTTTAATATTTCTACAATGTTTTTGTTTCTTCTTTTTATTGGAATTCGAATTAAGAAATTCACTTTATATATAAATTACATCATATCGCTGGAATTTCTTCTTCTACTTCTCCTTTTTTCTCTCTCTCTCTCTATCTCTTACAGTCTCTCTCTCTCTCTCTCCTCGCATTCTTTCTTTACTGCTCATTTTACATCCCAGCTGTCTCGCTATTCGGTTTAATAATCTCGGATCGATGTATAATCCCGTAATAAAATATAATTTAAAATATGAACCCAAGTTTATTGTGTGGGGCCCTTTCTTAGAGAGGAGAGCACGAATACTCGGAATTATTCACCTACATATATATATATATAACGCACATGCCCCACAGTCTCAATCTTTCATCGGTATGCTCCCACCAGCACCACCACCACCACTCCTCGTCGCCTTTTACTTATTTTCCTCCTATGGTATTTTTATTTTTCGCATCGGACAACCTCGACATTCCTGAATGGCAACTTGATGGCACGAGCCACTTGTGACCCTAGTGACCGCATACAATATCCGTTCGTTCCCGTGTCGCCTGTCAAAATATGAAATCGAACACGCGTGGGCGTTCTCTCTCTTCCAACAATCACACCATCATCATCATCATCCTCCTTTTCTCCTCTCATCCATCCACATCTTCAAATACTTAAGAAACAATAACATTCCACATCTAATCCTCAGGAATTTCTAATCCCTTTTCTTGAGCTGCCTAACATAATTTAGTCGATCTACAATTGTACCTTTTCCTTCAAAATTTACACTAAATATATGTCTGCAAAATATGAAAACTAAATTACAATTAACTAGTCGCACGTTTCACAACCTCCGATAAACACATGTAAATATTTATTTATTTAAATTTCGATTGCGTCCAGAGACAAAAAAAAGAGAGGATTTCAATTTTGAGCGTTGAGAAACGAATTTTTTTTTTGTTGTTATTCTCTCACGAGATACTTTATAAAACTCAACAAGTTGACGAGATTCTTTTCGGATTAATAAACGACGACGATGATTCAAACGAGAATCTGTTATTGGGTAACAATTTGCCTCTCCTCTTCGTCGCGTCTCCCGACGACATTTAAAACAACGTCTCCGGCTTTCTTTAAATCATTCCTTTCTTAAATTATATCATTTAGATGCCAACGAAAGTGTCACAGTAACTGTTATTAAGTAATTAAGTATACTCTCTATCTCTCTTTCTCTTCCTCTCTCTCGATATCACAGATTCATTTGTATTTGCATAATGCGTTAGTTCGACAAAGATAGAAAGAGAATACTCAATCCATGCACTATTCATCATTCCATCCGTGGCGTTACGGGAAAAAATGCATTAGATATCCGGCGATTAAAAATTCAAACATACCTCTAAAACATCTTGAGCAGTTTGCAGGTAATCACGTAGCATAGCTTCTTGTATCGCACGCCATTCCTGCCGTGGATCTTCGAGCTGAGTGCATTCTGTAAAAAAAAATAACAAACAATAAAATAAAATAACATTGTTCTCTCTTTCGTCATTCTCATTTCAAACATATTTTTATTGTTAACTCTCGCGTCTACAATCGCAAGTTATTGAACTTTGCCTTCAACCTTTTTGCAGCTAATTAACTTAATGTCGTCGATTAACATAAACGGGAGTTTCGTGGATTATTTATATTCTCTCATAAATAAATTTAAAAAAAAACAATAATGCAGAAATTCCATTGATAAGATAATGATGATAAGTATTGAATATTGATGATGAACCATAATGCTTTTGTTGGAATATGCTTTCTTTCTAAGAAATAAAACTCTTAGTCAGATTGTTAATAACAGTTTTCTTTAGACAATGGAACATGGAAAAGCGTTATTCAAATGATTGGACACGTTGGAATTCAGTTCGAGAGGGGAGCGAGCGAGCGAGCGAAGCAATCGGGAATTTTATAACAATTATAAGACATGCAGTAGATAGAGTTGTTCACTTACGATTTACATGGTTAATGTAATATGGTCCGATCTGACCGTCGAATGCTTCTTCCCATCCCAGTGGCAATTCATTTCCTATACAATCCGCAAAACTTTGGGGTTTTGTGTACCTGCAAAAATAAAAAAAAAACGAAATTGTTAATCAAAACAGTTCAAATGATACGAAAATTTCGAGTGTTTTTGTTGAATTTGATCTAATTTTATTTAATTGGAAAGTAAATTTATTAAAAGTTGTGTGCGCTTTGGAAATGGACCTTAAAGTAAATGAATATCAAAGAAATAAGAAACCAGAACGTTGGAAACAGCGCAAAACCAATTGGCATTAAAACGTAGCGTGGAATGCATCCGGCTACGATTCATTAACATGCATAACAGTTGGCGTATTAATAAAAGAAGAAAAGAGAGGAAAAAAAAAGCTACGCGAGAGATTGTTTTTTTTTGTTGTTGTTTCTCTCGAATAATATTTGATTTAATTAAACGACGCATTCAATTCTATTCGCATATATATTTTTTTGGAAATGAATCTTCGAGCTAATTACAAGTCGAATGAATCGATCGGATGGGGGAAGCGAGTGGAAGGAAGCGAGGCAAAGAAAATACTATTTTCGAAATCCAAATTAAAGTATTTTTAGAACACCGAGAGACTGAGCCTGCCTGCCTGCCTGCAGTGCTCAAGTAAAAATATGTAAAGAATTCCAATATGGTGTACGTAAACAAACGTGAGAGAATTTCCATCGCTGACATGCAAAATAATTTCGCGGAATAATAAATAATACAACACAAAAAAAAACACACACACACACAGTCTGCGTTCATCTGCTTCTTCTTTTAGTTTTTTTTTTGTTAATACAAGTGGAAATAAATATTTTTCGCATTTTCTTAATTAAATCGTTTTTAGCTGAGTTCGCATAGTTTCACATAGCGAAACGCTGCCGGCGCAGGAATGCGGGTTATGTAATTGCATAATTATATAAAAGAGCACTTATTGGAAAGTTCTGTATCGCCGGGTTCGTTTTTTTTTGCTTCTGCTTTTGTTGTTGTTGTATGTTTGTAATGCTATTTTGGAATGGAATCTATTCTTGTGGACTATGGAGGAATATTAATGGAGTACGCCTAGTACACACACACAATGTTGTTATTGAAGCTGCGCGACCAGGCAACCGATGTGACAATGAAAATTCCTCAACATTAATCATCATAATGCGATGCAGATAAGGGAGGTATGCGGATGATAACAGATGCAATGAGAGCACACCTTTGTTGGATGTTTGTTCGAACGTTTATTTTTTTTCTCTTAATTCCGAGCGATAACTCTGGTATTTGATAAATTTATAGATTTGTACGGTGAACGTAACAGAATAAAATATAATATTAATGGATTAATGGAAGTGTTCTGAGCTTAGGTGGAGACACGAACGCATGATCTTAATTGTATATGATGATGAGTAGTCGTGAAGCAAGAGCGGTATTTATCATTGCATTTGCGCTGTACGTGTACAAGTGAAGCGTATTTATTATTCCATTCATATTTATCAGTTTTTAATATTACATACAATAAATATTTACGAATTCCGAAGTCGTTTTCAAGTGTGTTTACTTTTTACATTCCTTACCATATATGCATATATATATACACACTTAAATGTCAATTTAATATAAGGAAGTACTTGTGGGTTTATCTGAAATACTACATGCACATACGATATGAATATCATATTTTACTCGGGTTCTCTGAATAATTTCCCTTCTCGAATTCCTATCCGTTCGTGCGAGCGAATTCCACGTGCACATTTTTTTTTAATTGACTCGTTTCGTTTTATTTTGCATTTAGAAGATACAGGAATCATTTCGTTCCATCAATTCGTGACAAGATGACATGACGTTTGAAATAATTCACACAAGTTTTTCTTTCTTTTCATCGTCCACGTTTTACAACTAATTGGTATAAATATATTATATTATCTGAGGTAACTATAATTAACGTCGGTAATTGGCAGCATTACGAACAACACGTACATTCCAATTATAATAATTTAGAATTACCATACAGCTCCAAGAAGTGGATTAGAATAAAAAAAAGGATTGTATGGAGACTACTTATAAACGATCATTAACTGTAATTTTCTCTCAGTAATGCACATGACACTATTATATATATATAATAATGGCTTGTCAAAATTGCTTCAGTATTTCACTAATTTCTTAAAAATGATATTATTTCTTCTAAAACAAACATTCTGCTTCCACTTTTCCAACTCGATGATAACGTTCTTTAATTACAACTGGAATACCACGACTTTAAGTATTCAGATCATTATTTTCCTCTACAAATGTTCACTTCTAAATTGCTCCTCATAATAGACACTAAATCTGTAGTGCAAATGAAAATCTAAGATGCTGAAAAATTATAAGATTAATTCGTTTATTCGCTAATTAAAAGTTCGGAAGTAACGAGCCGGAATGATAACGAAATCATAATTAATGTATGGACATTTGTTTTCGTTTCCATCCATATATTTTTTTCTTTTTCTTCATCAATATAAATTAAATTAAGTAACGAAAGTGTTTCACAGTGGGTTGCTTAATCAACGCAAAATATGCAGAGGGGGGGAGTGAGTGTAATAAATTTTCCTTGCTGCCACGATTTGTGCCGGTGTTGGTGGTGAAGAGGAGGAAGGAATATTTCGAAGGGGGGCACCAAAAATAAAAAAAAAAAACAACGTCTGATCTTAATTAGTTGCCAGACTGCCTCTCTCCCCCTCCCACAAAACGAACGTCCAAAACATCCGCTCCACGCTCTTTAATTTTTAATTTATCTGGAATTTCTGGAAACGCTACACATGTACGCGCCATCATCATCATCATATTGTTAATTGAGTTACAAGGAATGAAACGCTGCTTGAATATTTCATAATTCAATTTTAATTACTAATAAGAAATAGTTTACAACAATTGGTTTCAAATTAGAACATTTATTTATGTTTCAATAAAATAAATCTCAATTTTGGTCGATTGCCACTTAAAAAAATAACTATTTATCATTCGAATAATTACAAATATTTCAAGGTTACGTTTCGCACTGTGCAAAAATAAATAAACATAAAGTGATTTCTACTTAAATATTTCGAGAAATTGAGCTAATTATTAATAACTGTATAAAAAAAAATTGAAATTAAATGGAGAAATTGCTCTCATTTTATTAGAAGATTTCATTCAAAATATTTTAATGTTACTATAACCATAATAATGATAATTTGACTTCATCAATTAAAAAAAAAAAGAAACAATTTGTTGCCTTTTATTGAAATGATCGGTTTATGTAATTTGTAATAATTATGGGAATTTAATGGGCTGTGACAACATTTGATCAATTAACAATTGATTTTAGTGTGTCTTGATTTATTTCTTTCTTTCTTAAAGTTTGTGTTTTGAGTAATCTGCAATTAGCAGGTAATTAATTATCGTATTCGATTGGAATTGATTTGAGGAGATCGAATGGAATGCGATGTTTATTAAACTTACAGAGAGAGTCAGTAAACATAAATAATTTAAGTAAAATTAAAAAAAATGTATATAATAATAAAAGATGAGATGTTGCCGAGGGAGGTGTGTGTGTGTATGTGTGTTGTGTGCAGTTCAGTAAACAAGCGATGAAGAATGAAACATAAATATAAAAATTGAATTTAAAATTTGCATAAATTCTGTGCACGAGGACAGTCTAAGTTTTTAGTACGGATAGTAGTGTGGAATGAAGCCTCGTATAGTAACCGGAGAGTGAGACAGATGGGCTCGTAAGAAGGAGACGAAATGAATGGAATGCGGTGACGGTCAGCAGCGGCAGCACGGGCACCATGAGCACAGCATGGCCAGCATAGCATATACTACACACACACACACACATTCACACAGTCTATATAGCATATAGCAGCAGCCAGGCACCAACATTGCTGCTGCTGCTGCTGCCGCTGCCGCCGCTTTTGCTGTTTTATATATCCAACCCCTCCTCCACACGACCTTCCTTCCGGGGTTCCATAAAACACATGCTTTGCGTTCCTAAGAATCTTTCTCAACACACACACACGCACACAAACACACATATATGTATACCAAACATCCACTCGCACACGCATAAAAGAACCGATTCACTACATTTCTTTTTTAGTAACGCTGGAAGACTCCAGCTAAAATAAGAACTAGCATAGCATTAACCACACTCTGCCTCTAATTAAAGTACAACAGACAATAATATTTTTTTTCCACGTTTTGTTTGCACGATCTTTTAATACGAATTTGATCCATCAGTTATCGAATCTATCCAATTTACTGTTCCAAATGGTCTGATTTTTTCAATATACATGCTAAACAATCTAACTGTTTCCCATGAGTATTTCCGAAGATTTATTCAATAATCAATACAATAAAAAGAATACAATGAAAATAAACTTAATCATCTGTTTGTTTACTAACATGTCCAATTACGTATAATAATGTACAGTAGAAACTTGCTTAACGAAAATTTTTGGATTTTAACTCGTGTAGTGAAACACGTTTTCCCATATAAACTAATGTAAATTACGAGAAAAATAAGTATAACTTATATAAGTTTAGATTTTTCATGATTTTGCTTTTCATATCTATGTTTCTTTTAATTCTTTGGTTTTTTATTAGGAGACATGCAAGTGTTATTAAATTGTCACAAATTACATGTATGAACACAAGTTTGGAAATTTTGTGATCACAAACAACACTAAGATGCAACTAGAATGACCATTAACACTAGGAACTGTTTTCCAATTCACACACGATAAAGTGAGTTTATATTTGTTTATATTACTTGTATCAATTCTTTTAATATTTGTTTATATAAAAAAAAGCTCATTATGCGAGGTTCTCGTTAAGATTAGTTATTTATCATTGCTTTATCGATATATTCATTATTATAACTAATAACTTGTAAACTAATCACAAATAACATTAAATGTAAATAAAGATAAACGGCATGAATCCCAATTAATGAACGATTGCATTTTTAATCGAAACGAATGGTATGTAACCTTCATTTAACGCTTATTTACATCTGCACAACATATTAACATGCAAAACTGCATCG